CCCCCCTCCCCGCGTCCTCCCAGGTGCGGGCACTGCAAGCGGCTGGCGCCGGAGTACGAGTCAGCAGCGACCAGGCTGAAGGGGATCGTGCCCCTCGTGAAGGTGAGGACCAGCCGCGCCAGCCCCTCCCGGGCCGGTGCTGCCCCGGCGGCAGCTTAATGGTTGTCCTGGACGGAACGGGAGCGGTGCTGTGGCCGGCCGCCAACAACGCCTGCCTGGTGCACGTCGGGGCCTTCTGGGGCCCTCGAAAGCTTTGTCTCTTCTAAGCTTTAGACACCGGGGGAGGATCTGGAAGCTGAACCCTGCGAGGGTGCTGGCGCCCAGACGGTGTGCAGAGCGTAAGATGGGTGTGTGCTAGTGCGAAAAAGAGGGTTTGCCTCAGCCGGGACAAAGAAACCTTCTTTGAGCGCTGTGATCTAGTCTGAGAACCAGTGGTGTCCTTCATGGTGTTGTCCCTTATGCTTTACTTATAAAGTAAAGGCTGTTATCCAAGAGCTTTATTTTCCACTGGAAAACTTGTGTGGTTTTCTCAAATCAGGGTCTTCCTCTTCCCTTCTGAGAAGTTGCATGGCCTTGACACCATGGCTCCCACTTTCTTCAGGCATTGTGGGAACTTTAGATCTGATGAGGTCTGAGAACTGTTGATTTCTGTTAAGCCTGTCACCAATTACAAGAATCTACCCTTTCTAGTATTTTTTCATGTGTAGTCTGGTCAGACTCACAACTACTTAATTTATTTCTCTGGTCTGTCATTAGACCTGTGCTACTTCCTTTCCCAGTCATGACTGTCCAGCTTTTGGTCTTGCAGACTCTTTACGGATCCTTAGACTATATGTGAAAGGAATCCAGCCTTGGCTAAAGACACACAAGAGCTTTCAGACCCTCTAGACTTTATCCTTATGCATGATAATGTGGGCAACGGCAAAGCCATTTTCTTCCGTGCGTTCAAGTAGCTAGATCACTGAGTAGCAATGTTTCCCTTCCTTTAGGTTGACTGTACAGCAAACTCCAACACCTGTAATAAGTATGGAGTCAGTGGATATCCCACCTTAAAGATTTTTCGAGATGGAGAAGAGGCAGGAACCTATGATGGACCCAGGACAGCAGGTAAGAGCTTGTCAGCAAGCACCTGGCTTGCCAGAAGGGTGCTGGCAAGCAAACCCATGTGTGATAGATCACGTCAGGGACGTTAGATGTGCTGAGGGACACAGAGATGGTTCCTGCCTACGCACGTGCCCTCCTTGCCCTATCCAGAACAGTTTGTTCTGGCAGAGCCCTGAATGCTACTTATCCCTTAAAGCTCTCTTTTAAAGGTGAAGGCTTCCATGTTATCTTTAACTCCTACTACCCTTGCTGGGGGGCAGCATCTGGAAAATGCTAGAAGGTTCCTATGTAGTGGCTGATGGCACTCCTTCAATTCACATCGTGTTTATTATATGGGAGAGGGGTATGGATTCTGCAGAAACAGCTTCTGCTTTGGGAAGCTTGAGGAATGTCTTGTAGAACTTTCTATTGATCCCTTTAGCCATTTAACTTTTCTTTTAAGATGGGATTGTCAGTCACCTCAAGAAACAGGCGGGACCTGCTTCCGTGGCTCTCAATTCTGTGGCTGATTTTGAGAAGTTCATCAGTGATAAAGATGCTTCTGTGGTGGGTGAGTAGATTCGGTGCAGCACTGCAATGAGTGGACAGTCGGCTCTGGGAGATGTCTTGGGCACTATAATGTGACAGGATGAACAGTATCATGGACTGTGGCAAGAGAAATTCAGCTGGATGTGAGCAAAACAGTCCTTCATAATGAGAAGCGTGGAATATTTGCCCAGAGCAGAGGAATTTCGAAACATTCAGATTTTCAAAACTCAGCTGGACAAAGCTCTGAGCAACCTGATCTGACTCTGAAGCTGGTCTGGCTTTGAGCAGGAGGTTGGACTTGATGACCTCTGTGGATTCCTTCCAACTTCTTTTCCACTTTTTTTTCCGCCCCCCCCAACCTGTGATTCACTGACTGTCTGTCAGACTTCCTGGCACCATAGCGTATCTTTTTTAAAGCCTGTTGCTCTTTTGGCTGCCTGACAGCAGGTGTCTCTGGATTGCTAGAAAGTACACTGGTGTTACTGTCTGGTGACATGTGCAGGCTGTTGACGTGGGGTGATTTGGCCATCGTTTACAAGGGCCAGTAGCCCCTTTGCTTTCTGCAGGTCAGGTGCCATCTTACAACTGTAACCGGATGAGTATTGATCAGCATTCCTAAACTCATTTTTATTAAGTCCCATTGGCAGTTGTTATCACTAGTAGTGTCCTGTGGTTACAAACAGATACCTTGGTGCTTGGAGGACAGCTGCCTTTTGGCTAGGCATACTCTTGGGTAACTTTCTGCTGGTGAGAGGGAGGGAATGCAGAAAGGTTCTGATAAAAATGGGAGAGAAGCTGTTGAAGGTGAAGGCCTGAACACGCACTGGAGGACTTGATTCAGAAGCAGTCCTTCAGTGCGTTGTAGAGATGATGATGAGGGCTGCACAGCGACTGCTGCTGAGTCAGTTTGGGGTCACCATCTGTCTGTTTTGCTGCAGGCTTCTTTGGAGATGCATCTGGTGATGCTTATTCAGAATTCATGAAAGCTGCCAACAACCTAAGAGATAACTACCGTTTTGCACACACCAGTGAGGACCAGTTGGTGCAGAAGTACGAGGAAGATGGAGAGTAAGTTACGTGACACAAAGATTTCTCGTTATTGACACTCCTGGAACAAATTCATGGATTCCAGTTGTTAACTGGATTCACTTTCTGAACACATCTTAAGGTCTTGTCTCTTCCCCAGCAGCCAGTGGCATATCTTACTTTATTTCTTTGGAACTGAGGTAGAGAGGTACAGATGATTCCAGGCTCTGGAGGGTTAGTGTCTGCCTGTGGGTGGGAGGTGTCTCAGCAGAGTTGTGTTGCTTCCCTGTTGCTTTTTACAGTGGGTTTTGTGTTTCTCACTGTGGCCTGTCTGAAAACTGAGAGGGTCTGACAGGTCAATCTAATGCAGTGGTGCCACCAGAAGACTAGACAGCCTTGTGGGAGCTGCAAAGAGTGGACATGGTAGTCACTGGAGAAGGGGTTCTTACCTCATTCAGTTGTTGTCATTGGAAACTCAGGGATACTTTAAACTGATTCACAATACCTGCTTCCCCTCAGGGGTGTAGTCTTATTCCGTCCTCCACGCCTGATGAACAAGTTTGAGGACAGCTCCATCAAGTACACAGAAGACAAAATCACCAGTGGAAAGATCAAGAAATTCATCCAGGAGAACATGTGAGTGATTCCTCACCAGGCAACATGATAGACTGTCCCCACTTGGATTCAGCCCTGTCAGAACTTGTTTTCTCTGACAAACTCTGCTGCCCCTTCCTGCTTAGTGTCTGGAAGAGCAGTCTTGGCTCCGCTGTCTCCTTTGGGGGCCGCCTTCTTTCTGAAGTCGTGGTGTGGCTGCTGGCATTTACTCTCCATAACCACACTTCTGTTTAAAAACAGTGAACTTCCTAAGAAGTATGCCAGATTTGGCCTTGAGTTAGATATATCCACTGACCTTGTGACTAGATGTGGAGATTTGACTTAGAATAACATGGTAGATGAGTGGACAAAGCATTTCTTACTTCGGTCTTACTGATTAGTGGTGTTTAATATTCTTGGGTGAGAAACGAGAGTGTGCTACATTGAGCCAATTCCTGGGAGGTGGTGGTGTCTGGAGCTGCTAATGTCTGTCTCATCAACAGCTTTGGCATCTGCCCACACATGACTGAAGACAACAAAGATTTGATCCAGGGGAGGGACTTGCTGGTGGCGTACTACGACGTGGACTACGAGAAGAACGCGAAGGGCTCCAACTACTGGCGCAATAGGTGGGCAGTGGCGGGGTTGATCGGCCCCTCTCCCTTCTTCCCTGTGTCCGTGTTGTTCCGTAGCTCAGCTGACAAAGTTT